TAACGGTAAAACTCAGGAAGTTCCCTTTCGCTACGACGCGAATCGAGTTCGGGCACGAATTTATACTTTACGAGATCGCAAAAGTGAGCCTCGAGTAACGGCGATGCCGTCGTTTCCCGATACACTTTCCGGTTTCTCTTCTCGTCTCTCTCGCAGATTTTTATTCGCGACGTCGCTCGGGGCGCTATTTACGCGGAAGCACCTCTTAATCCGTTTCCTCTCCCAGGCCCGGGCGCGCGCGCGTTTCCTGCTGCCCTTTTGTCGCGCGCATCTCCTCCCGGCTGTAAAAAAAAAGAAAAAAGAAAAAGACAGGACCTTAAGTAGAGGGGTCCCGTGCGATAATGGCGAAAATAGGCTTTTGTCCCAAGGCTACTTGCTGTCTGCCGCCGCTCTTCGCAGCACGTTGTTCGAAATAGGTGTGTTTGGAGAGATTATGCCGGCAAGACACGCAGCAGTTGTTTTCGCAGCTTTCGGCGCCTTTTCTCCGGAGCGAAGATACACACAGTCCCAGCGACACGTGCAGATATCTGAATGCAAAAACAAAATTCTTACGTGAGAAAAGTGACAATTGTTTTCGCGCGCTTGAAATTATCGTGCGATTTGATTTCAAAATTTAATTTTAGACTTTGTCGATTGTGTCGCCAGATAAAGGTCGTTTTAGCGCAACGTTGTAATGTAATCGCTACTCGAACGTCACTGTCTGCACGCCGGCTGTTCCCAACCCTTCCCCTTTGCTTCGCCGTGACGAAAATATAACATGTGAGAGCGCATACCTCCTGCCCCACCCTCTCTTTAGGACCCTTGTCACGTGGTCATCGGGCAGGTACGCATCAGCTGATGCACGCGCGCGGGTGAAGCTTATTGACTGACTGACTGACTGACTACGCTTCCCCTGGGCACCGTCGCTCGACACGAACGATAGAGCAGCTGTCATTATCGACTCCGTCATGCGTCACGAGTCTCGGTTTTTTTTTTCTCCCCCGATTAATTCTTAAGCAGGATGCATTTTTGTGTTTGTTAAAATAAACGTTGCGCAACGATTGCTACGAGTCTCTTACAAAACTGAATTGAATTAACGTAAGCTTGTTTTCGCGATAAAAGGATTTCGATGCTTATATCGGATAATGGAATTCCTCTGCGTAACGACTCGCGAATGATTACAATACGAGTTGAAAGTTGGGAACGGTAATAATTACAGTCAGATCGAAGCGCACATTAATAAAAAAGGCCGCATCGCTTCACATTAAGGATAGCCCGTGAAAGCGTGACTTTTGTTCGCATTACGGCCAACGAGGAAGGAATAGAACGAGCCATTTAGGTTGGCGCTCACGGACATTTAAAGAGAGTGCTCAGTTCTGATGCTTAATTACTCGAAAGTAATTGTTACTCCCCGAAGTGATTCAACGTAATCTGCTAATCGTGTCTTCTCGGCTTTACAAAATCGGCTGCACCAGCGACTGTGTCGTAACTATAGTGTCTGTCCTCCATGGACTTCTCATCTATTTTTACGCATTCTCGTTCCCGGAGGTACCGACTGGCACATAGCGACACACAGCGGGATTAGGTAACGGCGCTTCCGCTGCGATGAAATTTTCGCGACCGCGCCGGTCGAAAGGAGGAAACGGAGACTCGCGGATAACGAACGACGACGACGACGATGACACCCCGCGCCGTCGCCTCCGCGTCGCGCCAAAGTCACCGGTGTGCATTTACATGCGACCGTCCGCTCTCGGCTGCGCGCGCTTCCTCTTTCTCCGCGCGGCTGTTTTCCGCGATGATTAATACGCGCGTATATACGCGCGCCGAGATTGCAGCTACGTCCTGTTGTACGTGAAGAAACGCGAGTCGACAATGAAAGAGAGAGAAAGGAAATGGATGGGATAGAGAGGACAGTCTGCGCGCGAGTTGGAGCGAGACACAATGTCGATGTGTATGTAAGAGACGAACAGAAAGAAAGAGAGCGAGCGAGCGAGAGAGAGAAAGAGAGAGAAATCGAAAGAGGAGCACACGCGGAGTCCCGAGGAGAGGAACGACGGGTGCGGAGTGCGTCGGGGGCCCGGGCCGTCGGTGATGAAGAAGGGAAAAGAGAGGCGAGAGAAGGTGGAGGTATGCTGCGCAGCCGTGGGAACCGACTGCCGAGCGAGCGAGCCGCGCTCTCGTCCTCTCGTTCTGTCGCGCCGGCCGCGCCTGCTGCCTCTCGCTCTATCTCATCGGCGGCCGCCGCCGCCGCCTCCTCCTCGCTCTATCGCATCGGCCGCCGTTGTAGCCTCTCTCGTTCTATCTCTCGCGCACCACCGGTCCCTCGTCGTCGAGGATTTCTCCGATTCTTCTCTCTCCTCCGTCATCCCGCGAGGAAGAGGATTGCCAGGACGCGCGTTTCCCTTCTGTCCTCTCGACGTTCTCCTTCAATCGTCTTTATCGTCCTGTGGATTTCTTCCTCCTCCTTCCGCGACCCTCGTCGCTAGTCGCCGGCAATCGTCGCTACCGATGCACAGAGGGGCTAACGCACACATCCGCGTGTATACACGCGCACACGCTCGCCGAGGTGCATTGTTCCCGCGAAGAGAACCGCGCCTTTTTTCGAACGCCCGACTGCGATTCTTCGCCGATTTCATTCCAATCCTCCGTAATAAATTAGCGGGCGATCACGGTGGCATTTGTCTTCCCGGCAATTTATCCTCTTTCTCTCTCTCTCTC